CCCTATATCTAGTAATCTCCCGACAATTCCCGAAGGTTCGAGAGAACGAGTCACGTGACCTCGCTGACGCAACAATACAATATGCAAACCTCACTGGTAGTAAACGGTATAACGATAAGTTGAGGATTAGATGATGAACTTGTTCACATTTTGCTCTTTCTTCAGTAATGAAGGTATGATTTTTGAAATAATTTAGGTTTTTAGTCTTTTCATTCTTCGAAAAATTAATTAGGGGCAGTTCACCTGTCAGACTGTAAGTGATTATTATATTTACATGTGGTTATTATCGCATTAAAGTGAATGTGGCAACTAATAGTAATTAACCTATCAGACTATATGCGGCTATTATCCTGTCAACCAGAATATGACTTACACTCCCCCTTTTTTACACGTTTTTATTATAGTATTATTACGTCTCTGGTCGTTTGTTACTTTCCAGTATAAATTCTTCCCGAGGAACTTCAGCGATACAAGTCCTTTCTTAAATAAAACTAGTTTATTCTTTCTCAATACAACTTTGCAATACACTTAATTTCCACAATCACTTTAACTTAAACACACGCTATAATTCACAACGATTCACGCACTTTACTTACGGTCACTACCGCTCGCTTGACTCAATTATCTGTCTCTATATCTCTCTTCTATCTATCTGCAATTATATCTCCGCTTTACTTGCCGGGCTCATATACTAAAATAGAGGGCGCCTAGAAAAGACTAGAGTTGCCAGGAAAAGTTATGATCCTTCTAGAAACTCATGACGTGTTACCAGCGTCACGTTACTTCCGCTGTCGTAACAGTATTAAAGTGAATGTGGCAACCAACCTACCAAAATATAAGTGGTTATTATTCACTCAAACAGAATGTGACTTACTCCTCGTTTATTTACATTTGGTTATTATAGTATTAAAGTGAATGTGGCAACTAACCTATCAAACCATATGTGGCTACCATTCTATCAAACAGAACGTGACTTACACCCTTTTTTATTTACCTGTGGCTATTATTACATTAAAGGGAACGTTGTAACTAACCTATCAAACAATAAGTGATTATTATTCTATCAACCTGCTCAATGGTATTAACCTATGAATTCATTTTTTGCACTATCCTCTCAATTTGCTTGAGGGCTCTTGTGACTATTCCTCGAAAATTTAGTTTTCATGAGATTACCACTCAATTTGCGTAACACAAAGTATTATTCTGTGAATTTATCTTGATTTCCAGTCAGTCAGTTTTGATGTATACAATGTCTTAAGAGCTATTTATGATAACTATTTTGCCATGCTGTTGCAATCATTATCCTATCAATTCACTAATATTTGCTATCCTATTAGTCTATGCGTGGCTTCAAATCTGTATTGTATCGTTCATTTCAGATTTTCGCACAAAGCCACACAAAAGTTATGTATGTATAACTATCCCTAATTTGAAGTGACAGTTTTAAGGAAGAAAGCTAGTCAGCAACATCCACTGCCAACTCTTATATTAAAACAATCTTGAATAAGCAAATCAACAAACCACGTGACATTCACGGCGAATATAACATCGCGGTGGGACGGCATGTATCAGAACTATATTTTTGACATTGCTTGGTGTTTCGTTGTAGTGTAATACCACCGAAAATTGATCATTTTTGTGGAATGGTATGTAACAGTTTTCGCCCATGCAAAATATTCATACCCTCAGATTATAAAGATGTGTTCAGATTTGGGATTTCGAATTTCCAAGAGAGAATTATCTCTTGTAATTAATGGTATTAGAAAACAAAGGAATGTGGATCAACTTAGTTTACCAGGACCATTCAAAAATAAATCTAAAGCAAGTCATACCCTAGGCGTGTTTAGCAAAGTGAGGTGTCTTGTAGCAGGTGAGAATCCATGAACGAAAAGATCAACGGCAAAAGCTGTCCATGTACCCCATGCAACAGTACTAACATAACCAAGAAGGATCTCCGCCTGGAAACGAGACTAAAGGGTATGGGTTCACCAAAATAAGACTATTAATTATACCCCCTCGCATACTAGAAACAGCTAGAGAATTAATGGGTATTCCACACAAAGACATAATGGTCACAACACCGAATGCGATGCTTATAGATTTGTGTTTGATCGGACTGTTGAAAGCGGGTGCTAGGAACCATCGTCCTCGTCCATTAGATGGATTATGGAAAACAAACAGAGAGGAGTGGTGTATTTTAGACACGACAGTCTTATGACATACCTAATAACGTCTGAAGAAGGCTTGAATGGGTAATGAAGAAAAACTTTAATATAAGTTTAACATAACAGCAAATGTACAACTTGTACCTGATGATG